TCCTGCCTGAGGCCTCCACAGGCCGAGTCAGCAGGGTGGCCAGGCCGGTGCTCGGGAGCGTCCTGGCCGCTCCGTCCTTAGCTGAGGACCCGCCTTCCCTCTCCCGGGCTTCTGGCCTCTTCCGGACCAGCTTGAGTAGCAGATGTGGCCAGTGGGAGGTGCCACGGGTTCAGGGATGCAGCAGGACGACCACCAGCCACCCACGTTGCTGCTCACCTGATGCTGGTAGACGCTGAGATCCGCGTAGGGAGGTCCTGGACAAGGCGGGGGCCTGAGCGCGCTCTGCTTCCTTAGGGGCGCGTTCCATCGAGCCCAAACTCAGCCTTGACCATTGGGCCTGGTCACAACCCACCAGCTACCTTTTATTTTGGGTCAGTCATGGGGCTTGAACTCTGGGCCTGGGCAGCTGTCCCTCTGTTCTTCAGCTCAAGGCGAGTGTTCTAACATTTGAGCCTCAGCGCCACTTCTGACTTTCTGTGTTTATGTGGTGCTGAGGAATGGAACCCAGGGCCTCATGCAAGCAAAGCAAGGGCTCTACCACTGAGCCACCTTCCCAGCCCCTGGGCTGGCTTTGAACCATGATCCTCAGATCTCAGCCTCCTGAGTAGCTAGGATGACAGGCGTGAGCCACCGGCGCCCGGCTCACCATCTACTTTTTGTGGTCCAGGTTTACTCAAAGTTCTACCATGTGGAGTCTTCAGCACTGGGTCTCCCATGAACATCCCTGGCTCTTGGTGGTGTCTCCTGGGAGTTCCCACTAGCCTAGCCTCTAACTTGGTTGGAGTGCTTCTGCCCCAGCACCATGACCTGCTCTTCAGGACTAGCTGCCTCCCTGCCACTATCTCCCCTGAGCTGCCTGCCCCAGCCCTGCTCAGGACCCAACACTGAGGACACAGCACCTCATCCTGCTAGAACCCCAGCCGCAGGAGGAAGGGCCGAGCCTGGAGGTGAGCAGCCCCTGATGGCATCGGAGGCCCAGCACAGGAGCTGCCCTGTTTGGGTCATGGGGCTTTGGGATGTCCGCCTCCAGTTAGTCCGAGCCCAGCAGCCTTTGGGAGGCGGGGGACAACCATTCTCGTTCTGCTCACCCCCAGAGGGGCTGCAGCCTTCTGCACACCAGGCCCCCGAAGGCTGCTCTTCCTTTTCTTACTCCAGTCTCTTCTGCTGCTCTCCTCTGATACCGGAGGGACGGGGATCATGGCATCGGGAAGCCCAGAGCTAGGTCCCCCAATTTGAACTTAGCCGGCCAGGAAGCCCGAGATCTGGGCGTCAGACATCCGCTCATTCATTTCCCACGTAATGACTGAGCACTCGAGGCCAGGTGTGTGGCGCCCTGTCCTTACAGAAACGCAAGGCTGCCATGGGTATGGGAACTCTGCTGGCTACGCCCAGGTCTGAGCCTGGGCAGGCATGCAGAGCTGTGAGAGGTGGCATCTGTCAGATCTTTGTGGCACCAGTGTCATTGGGAGGCCGCGAAAAGTAAGCTGAGCAGGGCAGGCCTGGCATCCAGGAGACAGCGCAGGACCAGAGCCTGTCTTCCTGGAACCCTAACACTCCTCCCAGAGAGGTGGGGGCCTGAGGCTCGCCAGGTGACGCCTCACCACCACCAGAGGGCGCCCAGTGGACTGGTGACCGCCGCCCTGCTGACCACCCGCAGCCCTGGCCAGGAAGGCCCCCGTGTGACCCGTGTGCCCCGCTGTCCCAGGGCTGTGAGGGATGACCCGTGTGACCCGTGTGCCCCGCTGCCCTGGCCAGGAAGGCCCCCGTGTGACCCGTGTGCCTCGCTGTCCCGGGGCTGTGGGGGATGACCCGTGTGACCCATGTGCCTCGCTGTCCCGGGGCTGTGGGGGATGACCCGTGTGCCTCGCTGTCCCGGGGCTGTGGAGGATGACCCGTGTGACCCGTGTGCCTCGCTGTCCCGGGGCTGTGGGGGATGACCCGTGTGACCCGTGTGCCTCGCTGTCCCGGGGCTGTGGGGATGACCCGTGTGCCCCGCTGTCCCGGGGCTGCGGGGATGACCCGTGTGACCCGTGTGCCTCGCTGTCCCGGGGCTGCGGGGATGACCCGTGTGACCCGTGTGCCTCGCTGTCCCGGGGCTGTGGGGATGACCCGTGTGACCCGTGTGCCTCGCTGTCCCGGGGCTCCGGGGGATGACCCGTGTGCTGGAGGGCCTTGAGCACCTGATAGTTTTCTACCAGGCTCTGACACTCTTCCTTTTCATTTAATTTTTGCTGGTCACGGGGTTTGAACTCAAAGCCGGAGCACTGTCCCTGCTCAAGGCAAGTGCTCTGCCACTTGGAGTCACAGCTCACTTCCGGTTTTCTGGTGGCTCATTGGAGATAAAAGTCTCACAGACTTCCCTGCCTGGGCTGCCTTTGAACCAGGACCCTCAGATCTCAGCCTCCTAAGTAGCTAGGATTACTGGTATGAGCCACCAGTGCCTGGACCCTTTACATTTTGTGATTGTTTTATCGTTATTGCTGTTAGTGTGTGCTGGGGACTGAAGTCAGTGCTCTGCACACACTAGGCATATGCTCCGTTGAGCAAAATCTCCAGCCCATTTTAACTTTTTTCTTATAGCTCAGTAGGAGTAAGCACATGGTCTAGTGCTCTAAAGCGTTTTCCACCTCCCCAGACTGAAATCAGGGATTTAAACCCTACCTCCCGGTCTTCTTCCCCAGCGGTCAGTTTGGAACTTCAACTGTAACTGAAGGTTCCTATTCCTGTGGATTTCATTTTACTCTGTCTCTGTGGATGTCATTGCTCTAGGGTTCTCCTCCTGGAGGGAATCACATCGTCTTTGTCATTTGTGAGTGGCTCATTTCACTTTAGCAAGGATCTCAATAATCACCTGCCTGCAGGCCTTCCACACACCTCTGCCCCCCAAGTGAGTTCATTATTTTTTGGTCCAGTCATGGGGCCTGAACTCTGGGCCTGGGCGCTGTCCCTCAGCTCTTCAGCTCAAGGCTAGCGCTCTACCACTTGAGCACAAGCACCACTTCTGGCTTTTTTCTTTTTGCTTATGTGGTGCTGAGGAATCGAACCCAGGGCCTCAGGCATGCAAGGCAAGCGCTCTACCACTGAGCCACCTTCCCAGCTGGAGTTCATTATTTTCTATGCTACATGACCCATTGTGTGAGTAGACACCTGCCCAGGACTCCGGGTTGCCTCTCCCGTCCTGGCTATTTTGGTACTGTTTTGGTTCTTCGGCCCGAGAGGCCCTTGGGCTGTGAAGGGGACGGATGTCCGCGAGCGTCGGTGAGCGTGCCGGAGCGTCTCGCGTGGACGGGCAGCGGGTCCGGTGGCGCTCACTGTAGGGCTGTCCGGCCCAGGCCAGGGCCGGGCGCAGTGGGGGCGCTGGCTCCCGCGGGT